TAAAGGCCTATATAAGGAAAAGCCCCTCACAACATAAAACATTAAAGTGTGGAGTGATTCTAGGATAAATTTTCTCTTCTAGTTTTGCAATATTCTTTTTTTGAGTCTTACTTCCTTAAAAAATATAAAAATTAGGAATGAGTAGAAATCCCTCTCCCCTATCTTTCTTTCAAGGCACAAAGCATGAAGAAATGGTGTGTTATTAATTATTAGCTTTGGATATAATGACCTCATGACAGCACGAAGAGTAAATGAAAAATTAATGAGATCTTTGTCAACTCCTTCACCAAAAGATTTACACTCAATCATATCACCACTCTATAAATTCCTTCCAAAGAAGCACATAGTAAAGATTTTCATAGGTGGACAATGCCTAGTGATCTTGCAATAAATACCAATAAATTTTAAAAAACACCTAATGGAGTATAAAACCATGGATCATAAAGGAAATCATCTAGAATTTTATATTAGGGAAATGAAATTTAAAGTTTTCTTTCCTTTGTCACTGCTATGGCTAATTAAAACCACTCACAGCTAACAAGACATCCTATAGGGACTTTACATGCTGAAGTCAAATTTCCAAAAATTCCACACAACTATGATGTACTGATAGGGAAAAATGAAAAATTGCTTTTGATAAAGAATATCATTGCTTTATAAAAAATTATATAACAAAACAATTATAAAATTTAGTTCTCCCCTTCATCAAGAATGTTGTTCAAATCATAATTAAAACTTGAAACACTCTCTTTACATCATCTTTAGCTTCCCTTGTAGCTTCATCTATAAAAAAGCCATTCCACTAAATTAACAATTCCTAAGTTGTCTTATAGCATATTTTCATCAATCTTTGAGCAAGAATATTAGCTAGACCAGCCTTCTTAACATTAATCTTTAGGACTTAGATGATGATTGATCTATGACATCACTAGAGTGTAAACACATTTTAAACTTGCTCACATGGAATGTTAAATAAGTCTTCGAACTTATTAATAAGATCCCCCACACATTACAAAATTGTCCAAGACCTACAATACCATGGAGACAACTTAGCATTACCACCTTCTTTCAGAGACTATTGTGCATATGACAGCTTAAGAAAAACCTTGTTACCAACTAAGTAATTTTGATAACAACAATGCTTATTAGCCAATCTCTTATCTTTTTCTTGAACTTGTCTTATGTTTAACTTTAATAACTCAAACTTATCTTGTATATCCTCTAGGAAATCACAAGCATGAGGTATTTGAATCAGGCAAACCTCTCTAATGTTTGCTTCTTCTCAACACTACCTGAATCCAATACAGAAAAGGAAACGACAAGTAAAAAATCCAACCAACCATAAAAGATGAACAGTTAACATCTGAAGATGAGAGCATAGATGGATTTGGGACCTACATCACAGCCAGTTTGAATTTTGTCCATGCCACAAGCCAAATAGGTGCTCAGTTACCGGGCCCCGCTGAGCTCGCTTAACTGCAAAATAAAATTAGCAGCTAGAACTTAGGAGAAGCTACTTACGAGTGGGGTATCGGAGTTTCTTAGCGCTGTAGAACTATCTGAAGATCCAGCTTCGTCCCGGCTAGCTTGGGCCGGGAGCAGCTGGAACAGCTCTTCCAGCTTCCTAGCAACAAAGCTCATGCTCGGGCGATCTCTCCCCCGTGGCTTCGTGCAGTCGAGTGCCAGCTGCAGAATCTGTTGCAACAAGCTGCTTCCGCAACTCGTGAAGTCGTACCGGACAGAAGGGTCAGCCACAGCATCAGCAGCTCGATTTTCCTCCACAAGGTTAGACACCCAAGAAACAATGCCTTCTTGCTCCAAACCCTGCTCCTTGATGACAATCTTGCGATCGGTGATAAGCTCCAGCAGCACGACACCGAAGCTATAGACATCGCTCTTGCTGGTCAGCTGCAGCGTCTGGAAGTACTCTGGATCGAGGTAACCTGGAGTTCCCATAACTGTCACGTTGCTGAGATGAGTTTGACCTGGAACGGGGCCAAAGAGCGAGAGCCCAAAGTCGGAGACGTGAGCGTTCCACTGGCCGTCGAGTAGCACATTTGCAGTCTTAATGTCTCTGTGGATAATCGACGGATTCGAGTACTCGTGAAGGTACTCTATACCCCGAGCAGCCTGCAGTGCGATTCTCACTCGACGGACGGCACGCAACTTTAAGTCCAGCTTCTTGAAGAGGCAGTCGTAGAGAGAGCCATTCTCCATGAACTCAAAAACCAGGAGCCGCTCAGCTTTGCAGTAGCCAACCAAGTTGACGAGGTTGACGTGATTGATTCTCCCAAGCAGTTCCAGCTCCTTGTCAAACGTGGAACCCGTTCCTGGACTAGCAGCCCTTTTGATGGCTACAACTTGACCGTTTGAAAGTATACCCTTGTACACCACTCCAAATGCGCCTCTTCCAAGGATCATATCTTCCCCGTAGTTTCGAGTGGCAACCTGGAGCTCGACACTTGAAAATGCTACGACTCTGTTTGCAAGGTCGTCCCACCTGTCGTCTCCACGGGTGGATGCACCAGCCGCACGTCTCCGGCATATGTATCCGGCAACACCTGCTATGGCTGCAACAGCTGCTAAGCCCCCAAGTACACCGCCAACTATCCCCACGATGTTCGGGCCTGTCTGCTTGTTACCAGTCTTCGAGGGAGGTACCACAGTGTTGACTGCATCACACACCCTGTCGCTGGTTTTGTTGCAAGGGGCAATTTCTGTTTGTCCACTCTCAGTGCATGGACCTTGAGAGCAAGCAAGACAAACAGTCTCCTCGTTTGACGTGCAAACACCTGTATTGTCCACATACTCTTTGCTGTTGCAAGATGTGGAACATAAGCCTCTGTTTGTCTTGACGCTGTCCAGAGTACCAGTGTAGGATCCCCAGCAACGAATAGCTCCTCCATCCATAGTGACTCCACAGGTGTACCAATCTCCAGCTGCAATGCTTGAGAATGCAGTGCCATTCGGGACTTGCAGCTGTAATTTGGAATTATCACCCCAACATCTCGCTTCATGCGTGTCTTCTGTCAAGCCGCATGTGTGAAACAATCCCCCGCTGATAGCTTGAAACTTCACTCCAACCGGAGGCTCGCACTGCTTGTGAGAGTTATCACCCCAGCATAGCGTCTGCTCTGTCCCTCGCTCAATGCCACATACGTGAAGCCTGCCTGCATATATATTCTCGAACGTTGATCTCGGATCACGAACAGTCACATTCGATGATGTTAGCTGGCCCCAGCATGTTGCCTTGGAACTGGACCTGCTCAGGCCGCAAGTGAAGTAATCACCTGCGGTGACTTTCCAGAAGTCCTGGTAAGGCGGAGGCTGGCTTTGGCCGAACGCATTGTTCCCCCAGCAGTGCACCAGATCGGAACCGAGCTTGACTGCACAGGCATGCCACCCACCTGAATTTAAATCCGCGTACCTCACATTCCTGTACTCTTCGCTCACGTTCAGGCCCCAGCAAATCGGGAAATGCGTCTGCTGCTGCAAGCCGCAGGTGAAGTAACCCCCTCCCGATAACGCGTAGAATGAGATGTCTGAAGGTGGCTCACTCGCGATTGGCGACCTTTGGGAAGAGCAGACTGCCGTGAGTCTTGGCAGCTGGAGGCTACAGACAGAGTAGTCGCCAACTGAGACATCTGTGCTAACCCACATGGCTGAAAGAGTGCTCATGTACCCAACTGCGGAGACAAGCTGGAGGTGGGTGACTCCGAGGAGCACGAGTGAGAATCGAAATCGCTCCATGACCAGTGTTAGGGTCAGGCCTAGGAGTGGATGATCGGGGCAGAGGTCATTTTGGGAGTTTGAGCGACTCGATTTCTGGGTAATGTAGTGACTAAGGATTGTTAAGCTTTCTCAGAAAAATAAAAAAATTAATTTTATGGTGAAAATAGCCAAACGACGTCCTCAGGAAATTTCGTATGAAACCAGGTCAAGACTGGCACATTGACATGACTGACTGACTGATACTTCGAAAGCAAAAGTCTATCAAAGATAAACATTTTCCCACTTAGTTTTGCTGTTACAGGGTGCAGCACGAAAGCAGAACATAACAGAACAGAAACAGCGGTAATGGCCAGAGCTTCACTTTTAGTCTGGAAATATGCCTGTGCTTCACTTGGACAATTCATCCTTCCTGTTGCTTTTTGAAGTAACTTAGCTATTTAAGACCTCATTTCCATATAAATAAGCTCTCATTTTGCTTATTAATTATTAACCTTGGGTCCTTGACAAGCTTTTGACTTGACTAAATAAATAAGCCTCCCTGTTTCGATTGCCAACTCGCGGGCGCTTGCTCGGATCCTTGCTCAAATCCTTCATTGGGACGTAAGGAGTCCGAGATATACTGGTTGTCCAATTTCTCTGTCCGGGTTCCACGTTTCTGTGTATATCCGTATTCACCGCCCTCATCACAGCCGTAGCGCTATTCCAGTCCGGCTATTCTCAAGACGTCGGACAAACTCAGCATGCAATCATGAACTCCGACCAACTAGCAAAAGAGCGTTAGCGAGGATGGTACCATCGACTGGCGCAATGGACCTATCGACTTGGTGTTAATTTTGCTCACATCCTGGATAGCACCACAGGGTTCCAAAACGGGTGGATGCAGACCGCCACTGCTAAACACCCGCAGAAAAAATTTACTATCTACTCCAGGGCGCTCAACTCTCGTTTGGAACTGGGACAACAAATTTATTTGCACTGAACTCCTACAGCACGACGCGACACAGCACAATGAATCAGGACCGGCCCCCACAAATTGCACGTAGAAGTTGGCCGATGGACAATCCCAAAGACACCTAGAGAACAGCGAACATGCCTGCTGTTTGAACTACAGGTTGAAGATCTTCAACATTTCGTCCAGCTCTGTTCAGCTTATGACTTCATCCGTCGACTCGTTCCACAACTCAATTGGGAGACAAACTCACTTGAGCAGATCATGGGCACACCAGAACTAACAATTTATATACAAGCTTACCTCCATGATTGAACAACGCCCTGACTTCCCCTTCCTCCTCACGACACCAGCAGCCCACAGATAAGTATTCGTCCCACGCTCTCACAGGGGGCGCTCCCGGACGCAAAACAGGTTGTTGTTGTTGTTGTTGCATTCTGGTTGTGGTGCGTGTCATCCATGTTTGAAGTGCTTGGACTGTCCACTCTTCCTTGTACTCCGGGTGTTGGAGAATCTCCACTGAGGCCGAAGGCTGTAGTCCAGTACGACGACATCAGCAATTACGCTGCAAAGAAATGGCCTTCGCTACTCGGGAAGAGCTGAAAACAATGACTGATGACGAGAAGAGTAGCACAGAAGTGATCTTTGCAACAATAGTTGGCGCTGATATCGACACTGTCATCAGTAGTGCAGGGACGGAATTTCAGGAGAGTAACTTCCAAAAACAGCCAAGACAGAGTCTCACGTAGGAAAGAAGAAAACAAGAGGAGCCAGAGCACGTCTTATGGTGGTGAGAATTCTTCTTCAAAACCAAAGCAAGGCAAGTATTTCTCCCATACTCCTTGTTATGTCAAGTTTTCTATAAAAAACTTTCTCATGATAAAAAATTTTCAACACAGGAGCAAAGATACAATACTATTTCAAATGCTAAAATGCCACTTAACACTTCTCATCCCAACTATGAATAGGGCCTGTTTTAATGTAATCTAGAGAAGATCAATCAAAGGAACAACTATCTCTAAGAAGTCCTTCATAAATCAATAAAAAACTCCAATTATACCAAGGAAATTATGAAGACCATACACTAAACTAATCAACCATAACCTAGATCTTTATGGGATCAAGCATGGAAATCAAATATTTTAAATATCCAGTCTCTTCTAAAAAAACTCATACTTGGATAACTTGAAGTATTTTCCTTTAAAAGTTGCAAAACATTTTACACATGTATCTTATGTTCCTCTATTAAAAACTTGTAGTGACCTATTCTTATCCAGAATGCAATTTTTGAAACACCCTTTAGCTTGACATAAATTTGATGATACCCTTATCTCAAATCAATCTTTATAAAATATTCAACACCACAAAGATAATCGAGCAAACCATTGATACAAGGGATTGAGAAAATATTCTTCAATGTCCTATTATTTAATCCTTTGTAGTTTATAGAGACATCTTTCTTCTTGATCATCACCATTGAAGTAGCCTAAGGAGACTTGCTTATCTATAATTACCCTTTTTAAAGGTACTCAGCAAGCTATTTATTAATCTCCTCATCTTCAATGGGACTAATATGAGTTGATAAATAGTAACTTTAGAAACAAAGTCAATCTCATGTTGAATCTCACATTCTAGGGGTAAAATATCAAGCAACACATCTAAAAATATATTATAAAACTCCTTTTGAATGTAGTTCACACAAGCCTTATGTTTACAAATATACTCTAAATTAAACATGATCATATTAGAAAGAAATGGCAAAAAAAACTAACTATCTTATGTGTGCAATTCATCAACTCTAAAGCATTAATGAATAGAATATCACTATTGTTTATCCCAACAATCTCTTTTATCAACTTTGATATTAATGAAATGAATAAAGAGCAAACTTTAAACCCTTCTTGACCTTTTGTTGCACATCCACAAAGTTCAAACTTTTGATGAAACATTGCACCTTTAGTAGCTCATAGAAAGATTCTAGAAGTAAAGACATGTGTGCATAACTATAAAATTTTAAACACCATGCTTGAATTTTGAGGATTTCTTGAGTTTTCTTCATTTTTAGGGTAAGAATAATCATTTTCTTCTCTTCATATCTGGATTGCTAATTAATTTTGGCAATGAAGCAAATACCTTTATAAATCTTGCTGACCATTTCATTCTAGCATAAAAAAATTCTTAATTCCATGTTTGGAGTGTAGTATGCAAATAAGTTTTCTTCATCTCGTATATAATAATTATTTCAAAAGCTCAATACATAATGGAAATTCCCTAATTTTTATTTTTTTTCTTTCTCTAAAGTCATTATATGTGAGTTTTGGTTTAGGATCAAGCGATTTATAATGTTTTTCTCTTGTGCTCTTTTATTTGAAGCATCAAAAAAGTTTCAGGCATTCTTGGATGAATTTGAGCAACATAAGTTGATCTTTCTTTACATGGTTAAATAGATCTTGGATAAGGATTTCTATCAAATAAAATTTTAGGAGTTAGCAGCCTGAGATCTTCACTTAGATATATGTTTATTAGTTTTAGTGAGAGTTTTGAATGTGTTTGAGTGAGATTTTTAGGGTTTATATTTTTTACAAGATTGTTATACATGTTTCTAGCTTTGTAATAAATTTAGTTTCATGATTTTTTAAGCTTTTTATGAGACTTTTAAGGGTTTTTATTTTGAGCTTTGTATCATTGAATATGTGAGAAATTTTTTAAAGGTTGAGAGATTTTTCTTGATGTTTTATCCTTTGCATCATCTCATGGTTTTTTTTATTGTCTTGGAATGTGTCTAGTTGCTTATCTTTCATGTTTAGTTCTTTAATTGAGAGACATTTATTTGAGTGGAGAGCGAGATCTAACATATAATGAGTGCACAAAAGGCTAGAAAGTGTTATAGGGAGTGATTTCAGAATTTAGTAAAATTTAGAATTTCAGAAAAGGTGATTAGCAAATAAAACCTTGTGATTTGAGCTTTTTAAACTCTTCATTAACATTGCAATAAATACCTAGTTTTGGCATTTGGCATATCTCAAAGGTTTGATACCCATTTGTATTGTATTCCTCTTACACACCCATGACTCAAAGAAAGGTTCTTAAGGCTTAAACACAAATTTAACTACTAGATAACACTATCTACAAATAAGTCTTCATCATCCACAATAGATTTCAGAGAGGAGAGCAACCAAAACATTGCACCAATGGCGCTAGCTATCCACTTTCTTTATAGAACAATGAAACTCCCAGAGTTCTATCCTGGATCAAACTTGTGGTCATGTTAACCAATTTCAAGGTTACTTGAGGTACAACCAAATAATTGAAGATGCCATTCCAAAAATTATTCTTAAGATCCTTGAAGGCAAATGCAATAGATTGGGTATCTTCCTTGCTTCTAGATGAGTGATGATCATATTAATGATACAAGTTCTTTAAGTAGTTTAGAATGGAGAAAATTGACTAACAACTCTACATAGAGTTGTTTTCATTTTAGCAAATAGTGCAAGAGAGTGTGGTGAATACACTATCTAGTTCAAGAAGCATTGATGTGTGTGTTTGTTATAGAGGCTAATTATAAATGAGAAGCCTGTAATGTCAACATTTGTCTAAGGACTCAAGTTTGGAGTGCAACATAAAACTTGTGAAGTATCATTTGACCACATATTAGAGGTGGAGAAATACATGCTTTTTGAGCTTGGCATGCACCATGACATCCACTCTCATGCAGGCTTCCAAGCCCCAATGTGTGCCATTGCCCAACTAACACATGTCATTGAGAACAAAATGCTGGCAGCAATTGAGTCGGCACTCAACAAGCTAAAGGAGTACTGGGCACTTGTGTAGTAGTAGACCTAGTAGCAAGAGAAGCTTGTGGAGGAGCTACAACCACTCAAAATTCAAACTAAAACTCAATGATATTGTTAATGATGTGAAGAATGCAAAGTTGATACACACAACATTGCAAGGTGTTAGAATCTCCATTTGGAACTTTGACCTTAATATGTCCAACAACAACCTTCTATGGATAATATTTTGTTAGCACCATCATCAATTGGGTACCTGCAATTATTTAACTAAAGAGCCATTAAAGGCACCACCGTCAAACGATTGTGGCAAATTCCCGATGAACACCATCTATATTGTGGGTGAGTAATAGCTAAGGTCTCCACACAAAATTAAAAGAAGTAGTAAACTACTATTGAGGAGCTAAACTTATCACTAGCCTCAACCCTAACAACTTTTTCTCCTCCATCTCTCACTACTTGCAAATTATCTTTCTTGAAGGCATTTACAGTAGCATATGCATCTTCACTTATATCTCAAGATTTGGCATTTACATGAACTCCAAACTTAACTAGTATGCCACTAAGAGGGGCCTCCATGATAACAAGTGGTTGCCCAAGCACTCTCATCAATCAAGTCTTAGCAACACTAATTACAACAATCATCAATGCACTTTATCACCAATTTTTGGGATTTTGGCAGCAACTTGAGACTTCAGTGAGTGGTCTCAATGGTGTGGCTTTGTCTTAAGCCCTAGACATAATTCTCATTTTAATCATCAATGCTAGAGCTGCTCTTGATCTAACATTCATTGTCTTGACAACAATTGCAAGCATCAATGTGGAGGCTTTTGTTAACTCAGGCTCCACCACCAACATCCTCTCTTTGACAATGGCTCAGCAAGTAAGTCTCTAAATCAAAGAGTACTCAAAAGTCATATTGAAGACCTTTTTCAATCACACTATCACTTTAGTGGGGATTTGTTGTGGCACTACCTATTTAGTTCATGGCCACAAGTCTACAATCACCTTTTTTATTGTGGACTATGTTGCTTTGGGAGCATCCTCACATATGCTATCAATGATCCTCAACTGGCCATAACTAAATGCAACTCCATGCTCCTTTGACTTGAGCATAGCCAAATGTAAATTAGATAAGGTAGTGAGCAAGTGACCATCCTCAATTTAAAGGGATAGGTTGTGGAATTCTAAATGACACTAGTTAGACCAGAGTTTCCATTTGAGCCAGCAAGTCCCAACAGTGATACCATGTTAAAGTTTGAGATGCTAAAGTGCAACATGATCGGCCTTTTTTATACCATCTAGATAGTCTCACCCTTTGACTATGTGACCAATCACACTTGCTCAGGCTCCAAGAAACACGAGATCTAGTCAAGATTCTATATGTTCCTCAAATACCCAAGAAAGAGGAGGAGAGCAAAAATGCAATGGCGGCTTTGGGGAGTGACTTTTCTGCCTCAGGTTAGGGTGGGGTGACATAGTAGACACTCTACAATTTCCCTTCATGCAGCTAAAGGTGTTGGATGTAATTCTTCCTAGCTCTCACTTGCTACCTTTCATTGAGACTCATGATGCCAACTTGAGTGTGCCCTTGGGAGTAGAGGAGGCACCTCTTGAGCATATGAAGAGTCAGGACCAGCCCATAGATGAACTATGGCCACTAGACAAGATCCCTACTCTTCAACATGAGAAAGCATTGTAAGTTCTTTCTATGATGTTGTATTTATCTTGCTTCTACAGGAAATCTTCCAAGGCACATGAACTTTATCATGTGACCTTGTGAGCTTGGATGTGAATACATTAGCAATGATTTAGAGACTATTTTCAATTGTGACACCTTCTCTAGACTTTCTAGAGGCCTCTTTTGGGGCTCTCAACACTCACATGGAGCAGCCAAATAAGACACATGCATACATGAAGCTCCTATAATCACTACTTGCAAAAGGTGGTAATAGTGCCAGATTCATTCTTATAGTAGCTTGGTTTTCTTCTCCAGCTTTCCAGCACCCAAAGGTTGCACCAGCTCATTGGAATAACAAGATCCCAATCGAAGCATCACTCAATGAGATCATGGCATCTTTTGTGGCTAACACCATGGAACTTGTCCACCAAATTCATGATGACTTAGGCCACATTTTAAACTTTGGAGACACACTGTCCCAGTACACAAGAGCTCTATGTAAGCAACCAAAGGGAACGACTTGATAAACGATCCATGGGGTTCAAATATAGAGGGAAAGGGCCCATGAACAAGAGTGCACCCCCTTTTCCAATCGGTTAAGGGTTTTGGGATATTTGGGGTTAAGCGTCCTTGGGTTTGAATAGTACTGGGCTGGGTGACCTCCCGGAAGTCCAAACTTAGGAGTTTACATTTGGTATCGGAGCGGTCTTGGGTCCGACTCTGTTGGTTGGCTAAGGGAATCGCACCACATGTTGATTGACATCTGGCTGGTCCAGTTTGCTCCTGCTGGGCTCGACCCAAGGGGTAGGGTGTCAAGAGAGCGGGGCTCTCCCGTCGGAGCGGTCTTGGGTCCGACTCTGTTGGTTGGCTAAGGGAATCGCACCACATGTTGATTGACATCTGGCTGGTCCAGTTTGCTCCCGCTGGGCTCGACCCGAGGGGTAGGGTGTCAAGAGAGCGAGGCTCTCGGGAGAGCTGCGGCTCTCAGCTTCCGTTCACGAGGGCGTGAACTTGCAGGGAAGCGTGGTGGATTGTAAGCAACCAAAGGGAACGACTTGAGAAACAATCCATGGGGTTCAAATATAGAGGGAAAGGGCCCATGAACAAGAGTGCACCCCCTTTTCCAATCGGTTAAGGGTCTTGGAATATTTGGGGTTAAGCGTCCTTGGGTTTGAATAGTACTGGGTTGGGTGACCTCCCGAGAAGTCCAAACTTAGAAGTTTACACTCTAGACCTTATAACACATAGCAAAGTTCCATTCTTAGTCACTCGCAATCATCATTTGATTATTCTCAAATTCACTACAGTTGTTTTGTCCACCACTCACTACATTTGTCTAGCAAGAGCTTACAATATAAAAAGAAGTTATATGTCCAACCTTCATGAGCAAATAAGATTGATTGGCATATGATTTCACTATATATACTAAGTTAGTTTGCTGAAGCTAATTTACCTATATTGGCTCAAAATTAAAGATTAATATAATAGATAATATCAAAAGGTTTAATATTTATCATGGTAAGAATTTATATAAATATACAATAGAATTATAGTTGAATGACACTGAGTTCTCCTGGAAAATCTTAAATAATGCCTTACCCAATCGCAACTAATCTCATTTATTTATCAATATACATATTACATTTTATTAGATCTAAACAATTGTATCAAAATTATTTATCATTGAGCTAAAGTCACCTTACTTTTTGCAATATACATTACAATAATTTTATAATAGTTAATTAAAGCCAAAACATGAGCTAACTAATAACCAACATTAATCAATTAGAATGAACATCCTAATCCAGCAAAGTGCAGCTGTTTCAAAGTTTGAAATTTTAAATTTTTTATTTGAAACTACAATGTGAAATTATAATTTATAGTAAAGGTACAAAAACATTAGTATTCAAATTTACAAAGGAGAATAATTTTGCATATTAAAGAACTCCATACATGTATGCTTTTACATATCTAAATACAGATCCCAAAGACGTGTACATTCTGGACCGCACCACAATCTCGCATAAGCTTGCTAGGGCTCGATCGATCGATCATCTGCCGTGATGGATCTCAAATGGGATCAAGGATTTTGGGGCAGCTTCGCCAAGAGAGCCAAGGAGGCACTTTATGAATCTGGCGGTGCGGCTCCATCGAGACCACAGGTAAAGCCAATTCGCAAAGATCTTTCTAAATTCTATTGTGATCCGAGGCAGGACGAGCAATCCTCTACCCCGCAAGCGCAAGCTCCTGGTTTGCAAAAAGGGTTTGACGTGATCGCTACTTCACTGTCGCGGATCGGTGATACGCTTGGAAACGCTATAGAGGTATGCGTAGTGGAATCGAGGTAGAAAAGATTAAATTTGTGACACAGGGAAGCTTGAATGTTCTCGCTCCAGAACCGAAGCACAACGTTAAGTCAAAGACCGCATTGCTCAAAGAGGAAGCGGAGATCGTCCTCACAAAACCGAATGTGGACGATCAAACTCAACTCAAAGCTTCTCGGGACGTAAGCCCATCACCTCTTTTCTTTCGAGCTACTCTCCAAATCTTTCTCGACCCAGGTTGCGATGGCGATGGCATCCAAAGTAAAGCTCCTCGTCCGCGAGCTCAAGACCGTGAAGAAGAACCTCGCGGATATGAGAGATCGATGCTCGCAGCTCGAGCAAGAGAACCAGCGCCTTCGGGACAGTGTGGAGAAGGGCCCAAGGAGCGAAGACGACGATTTGGTACGTAAGATCAATCGCTCTAGACTAGATCACTTGAAACAGAGCTTTCTTCTCTTTGATCATCGCTTGGAGAACTTACATGCTGCTTCTTTCCCAGGTGAGAAAGCAGCTCGAGACGCTTGTCGCCGAGAAATCGCGACTCTCCCAGCAAAACGCAAACTACGCTCGAGAGAACCAATTCTTGCACGAAGTGATCGAATACCATCGATTGACAATGGAAGATGTGAGCTTGCTGGACGAGAGAATCGAAGAAATGGCCGAGACAATGCAAGAAAATGGATGATATGAATGATACACAGTGTCCATATCCATTCCTTGTGTGTAAAATTCTCCTACCAAAAGTTTTTATTTGCTAGCATATTCGCTGTTGGGATTCCCTTCCTTCCTCGAAGAAGACGTCGTCTACCTGATGGGGTGCGTGTAATGTTTTTTTTCTAGGTAAGGGAGCGCTAGGGTTTGTGGCGAGAGAGGAAGCACCAAGGCGCTGGATCGGCGCTGCGGCACAGACGGTATGACATTCTAGTCCATCAGGCAGTGCTATCGATCGAGGCGACCATGGAGAGCAGTAATCCGGCACCATCGCTCTCCTCTTCGTCGCACGCCCAGCTCCCGGCCAGGATTTCTAGCCTTCTCCCCGCCTCGTTCTCCAGGATTTCGAGCTTACTAGAGGTCTCGGGGCTGCTGAGAGGCGCTCCACAGGAACTAGGCCCTATGAACAGGGACAGGGACGAGAGTGGCGGAGCAGAGGTGTCGATCAGGATAATTGCCGACTCTGGGTCGCCGAGGGAGAGTGGCTCGGGGCGCCCGCGGGCGGCCGATTCGATTGTCCAGGACGAGCAGAGTGGTTCCGATAGAGAGCTGGAAACCGAGGAGTCCACCACAATTGCTACCGCTGCTGGCGATCGTGAGGCCGTGAGGTATGATTTCCAGCACCTAGCTAAATGGGTCGAGCAGATCCTCCCATTCTCGATTTTGTTGCTCGTGGTCTTCATACGCCAGCATCTCCAAGGTCTTTTTCTTGTTTTTCCTTCGTTTCTTCGCTCTCCATTTCTAACTTTGTGGCTTTCTTTGTGTTGAAGGTTTCCTTGTGACGCTTTGGATATCAGCTATTATGATCAAAGCGAATAGTCTTCTTCGTAAGCAGACGTCTCTAAGAGTAAGTGACTACCATTTTTCTTCTCCTCCAGCCCCCAGTTTGATGATATCTTTTTCTTCTTCTTCTTTCAGGGAGAGCGAAAAACGTACATTCTAGTGGTCCTTGCCGCATTTCTCATCCAACATGTCGAGGGTATATACTGGTGGTATCGTGCCGACGCTCTTTGGCGACCACTTGTTCTCCTCCCTCCGAAAGACATCCCAAACTTTGCGGACGCGTTTTTCAATATTGTTTTGAATGGCAAGCAAATCCTATGACACTCTCTATCATTGCTGATCTCATACTTTATATTGTTTCTTTCTCAGATACGATGGTCCGGTTGTCTGCCATGGCATTCAAGTGCGGTGTTCTTATATACTACAAGAAAGGCCGAGGACGTAACTATCGATGGCAGGTTAGTTTCTTCAATTAGTTTCGTCATGTCAATCGTGATTGTGTATCTCGATGCAGGGCCAAATATTGACTCTCACCGAGTATGTTGTTCTACTTTATCGAACTGTAATACCAGGACCAGTCTGGTACCGCTTCTTTTTAAACAAAGAGTATGGGAGCCTGTTTTCATCGCTGACAACAGGATTATACCTCACCTTCAAAGTCACATCGGTCCTTGAGAAGGCAAGTTTTATGCCTCCCAGTTTTCACTGCCTCTAAACTTTGTAAAAACCACACAGGTGCAAAAGTTCGCTACGGCAGTGAGATCGATTCTTCGCAGGGAAGTCCAATACGGTACATATGCAACGCATGAAGAGGTGAAGCCAATTAACTCGGGCTATAGTATTTCGAGTGACAATTGTGCACGATGGATGTTCCAGGTGCTCGCGGTAGGAGATCTGTGCGCTATATGCCAGGAAAAGATGCACGCCCCGATATCCTTGCTGTGCAAGCACGTCTTTTGCGAGGATTGCGTCTCCGAGTGGTACGTTTCATCAAATCTTCTGTGCAAGGGAGAGAATTTTCACGCGAGTTTTTCTTCGTTTTTGCTACACAGGTTTGAGAGGGAGCGAACTTGTCCATTATGTCGATCGGTTGTGAAGTCGTCGGAGCTAAGATCTTTTGGCGATGGCTCCACGAGTCTCTTTGTACAGCTCTTTTAAAGAGAGAAGGGGCCAGCCAGTAAACAAGATTTTCGTCCACACTCTTTTAGTTTAGTTTGTTAACCATGCGGTGACGTGGTGTCCGATGTGGAAAAGCCCTAACCATCTCATCCACGGGCGGCCACGTCATCGCAGCTCTGCCTCTTGGCATTCCGTTGCTCCAATGGTGGTGCTATAATGTTTTTTTCCTCTTCTTCTTCTTCTTCGCGCACAGAGGCCTTCTTTAAAGCGGGGGCGATGATCCGGCAGCGCGAGTGATCGATCCACCAAAATCAATCCTTTTGCTCGATCGATCGCTCATCGATCGATCGCGGGCGCGCAGCAGCAATGTCGTTCGCCAATGCGCTGGCGCTGGACACGAGCGACCGCGAGCAGCTGTCGGCGCGCGGGCTGGATCAATCCGGGGTGGCCGTGGCCCTGGCCAAGCCCATCAAGGCGATGCGCCTGATCGACTCGCAGCGGTCGCTGGACGAGAAGGCGCTGAGCGATCTCATCTCCTCGCCCCGCCCGGCGCCGCGGCCGCTGGAGACGGTCAAGAGCTCCGAGTGCCTCGAGGCGCTGGCGTCGCCCAGCTTGCGGATGATCGCGGGGCCAGCCAGCGCCGCCACGCCGCGATCGCCACTCCATCCCTACGAACCCAATCCCATGATCGCCGAGGCCTGGGACTCTCTCAGGAAATCGCTGGTTTACTTCCGGGGCAAGCCGGTTGGGACCATCGCCGCGCTCGATCCAAACGAAGAAGCTCTCAACTACAACCAGGTATCGAGTTCTTTCCATAGAGTTTCTTTGCATTCCTCTTTCTTGCTTTGTTTTCTTCAAGCGTTTTCTTTTTCATCTTCCTCATCTCTCTCTCTCTCTCTCTCTCTCTCATATACATATGGATCTTGACACAAAGTCTTGCGTTCCATGGCCAGGTATTCGTGCGCGACTTTGTTCCCAGCGCGCTGGCCTTCCTCATGAACGGCGAGGCGGAGGTGGTGAAGAACTTCTTGCTCAAAGCGCTGCGCCTCCAGGCGTGGGAGAAGCGCGTGGACTGCTTCACGCTGGGCGAGGGCGTCATGCCCGCCAGCTTCAAGGTGATGCAAGATCCAGTGCGCGGCACCGAGACGATGCTGGCCGACTTTGGCGAGGCCGCCATCGGGCGCGTCGCCCCCGTCGACTCGGGCTTCTGGTGGATCATCCTCCTCCGCGCCTACACCAAATCCACGGGCGACTTCACGCTCGCCGAGATGCCCGACTGCCAGAGGGGGATGCGACTCATCCTCTCCCTCTGCCTCGCCGAGGGATTCGACACATTCCCCACGCTCCTCTGCGCCGATGGCTGCTGCATGATCGATCGGAGAATGGTAAACACGATCAAAGAACTTTTAAAACTCTCCATCTTGCCTCTAGTTCTTCTCTCACTCTCGATGGGTCTTTCACTCACTCCCAATCTTGGGTCTGTTCGTTCTTTCTTTCTCGATTCACGACTGACGTTACCTTTGGATCTTTGCCGTTTACCAGGGAATCTATGGCTACCCGATCGAGATCCAGTCCCTCTTCTTCATGGCACTGCGCTGCGCCAAAACCCTCCTAAAACCCGAGCTCGGCGGCAAGGAGTTCATCGAGAGGATCGAGAAGCGGCTGGTGGCGCTGAGCTACCACATCCGTACGTACTTCTGGCTCGACTTCCAGAACCTCAACAACATATACCGCTACAAGACCGAGGAGTACTCGCACACGGCCGTCAACAAGTTTAACGTGATCCCGGACTCCATACCCGACTGGGTCTTCGACTTCATGCCCATGAAGGGTGGCTACTTCATTGGAAACGTGAGCCCCGCCAGGATGGACTTTAGATGGTTCCTCATTGGCAATTGCGTTGCAATACTCTCGTCCATCGCCACCCCGGAGCAAGCGTCGGCAATCATGGATCTGGTCGAGGCACGCTGGGCGGATCTCGTCGGGGAGATGCCGCTCAAGATCAGCTACCCAGCCATGGATGCCGAGGAATGGGTCATTGTGACTGGCTGCGACCCCAAGAACACCCGATGGAGCTATCACAATGGAGGAACTTGGCCAGGTATGCATTTCTTTTCCACCACCTTTTTTCAATCTTTAGAGAAACTTTGTGGTTTTGTATTGCAGTGCTGCTGTGGATGCTCACCGCAGCTTCGATCAAAACCGGGAGGCCTCAGATCGCTCGCAGAGCGATCGAGCTTGCGGAGCCGAGGCTTTGTAAGGAAGGGTGGCCCGAATACTACGATGGGAAGCTTGGGAGGTATGTTGGGAAGCAGGCTCGCAAGTTCCAGACGTGGTCGATCGCCGGCTACCTCGTCGCCAAGATGCTGCTAGAGGATCCATCGCACTTGGGAATGATCTCGTTAGAAGAAGACAGGAAAGGGAAGCCCGTTATCACTCGTTCTGCTTCATGGACTTGCTAAGAAGTTCTTTTTTTCTTTCTTTTTGTTTTTACGAAGTACAAATTAATAATAGAATTGTCGCTCCAAGGGACGGGTTAGGCATTATTTGATCATTTAAAAGGTATAAGCTAATTTATTAATTGTTCCAAAGGGCAAAATGAAGAACAGGGATGATCTCGTTAGAAGAAGAAGCCCCTTATCACTCGTGAAGGTCTTTTTGTTTTCACAAAACAAATTGCATTGCTTTTTGGCAAAACTTTTGCTCCAAGAACACAGGAAGCTTTCTTTACAAGATCTTGAAAGCTTGCGTGACAAGAGTTTTTTCTGCTCGTCCAGTGGATTGATCAATCGATCCATCAGTGGCGAGGCTTCTTGCTCTGGTGCTGCAGTACCCATTGCCTTGTGTAGCCGTTTACTTCCTTTTCCAATTGCTTCCTGTTGTCTTCCTCCTCTTGCTGGAGAGCCAGCGACACTGCCCGTGTGATCCGGTCGGCATGGGGTGGATCCAGGGCCACCTCGTCCTCTATGAAATGGCAGTCGGGCTTGAGAGCCCTCTTGTTGTTCGTCGCCACCCAGTGATCATAGTCCGGGTAATCGAAGCTATCGTACTGCTTGACCCGGATGCTCTTGGTAGCGTTCCTGCCCTGGTCAGCTACCATGTCGTTGATCATGCGCTGGAGATCGACATACCTGTCAACGTTCACAGCCACCATTGTCTTCTTGTCTTGCAAATCTGATCTCTGTATAAAACCCTTTACCTTATACCAGTTGCTGACGAGTTAACTTAATCTAAATCATTTTGCTATTCATGGATTGCAAGATATTAAGGATCTCGAGTAATTTTCGTTTTTTAAAAGTTATTTTATTGCTGCCACGCCAGTGAAGAGTTCAAGCAGCTATTAGGAACAACGAGGCCTTTGTTTTGGCCAAAGGCGTTCAAGCAAAATGCCGATGGAGTGGAACCGTTTGAGAGGTTGAGAAAAACGTTCTCGAGCACTAGATTGTAGCAGGGGTTGCCCAGGCTGCACTGGAAGCGAAGAGCCACACTGCTTGCCGACGTTCCCATAATGTTGGAGTAGGAAACATTGCTGACTTTCACAGCATCCAGCTGCAAAAACAAAAACCGATCTCTTGAAGTTCCTCACAGAGACTGATAGAAGATTGGAAAAGTTTTAGTTACTTCCTCTGTGCCGCAGGAGAAGGAGCTGTTCCCATCGCAGTAGTATTGATCGATGATAATGGGCTGAAGGACGTTCATCATCACAACGTTGTAATAGCTGAAGTTGCTCGCAAATCCTTGGCCACCCTGTAACATATCAAATGTTTGGAGTTTTCATAGAATCAAGATGAAGATTTGGACCTGCCATGTTTTGATCCTGAGTCCATACTTGGTGCTCTCCAAAATCGAATTCTCAACCTTGACATTGGACACAAACTCTGGTGTCTTGTTCCTTCCAAGGCTCCCTATACTAGCTTGAAATAAAACGAAAAGAAAAACTCGTTTAAAATTTTCATAACTTCCACAAAAGAATTACCTGATTCCATGGCCCGGCCCACAAATTATTTCGCGTATGACAACGTTGGAGGTGTTCTTTGCTATAGATATACAGTCATCACCTGAAAAAAATAAAAAGGGATTCGTCGTTTAAAAACTATGATAGAAAAAGTTCTACCAGTTCCAATTATGCATTTCTCGATAGAAACGTTGTTGCTCATGTGTAAGTGTATGCCGTCGGTGTTGGGGCTGTCGTGGGGAGCGAGGATTTCCACCCCTTTAATGCTCACATTAGAGCTTTCCTCGATCGCCAAATGCATTTGGGGGCTGTTTACAAACTTGAGATCCTGAATTGTGATGTTCGCCGAAGCTCTGATTGACAATGCCTGTAAAATGGTTTAGTTTGAGTCAGCCGCCACGCAAGTGTAAGAATCAAGAACTTAGCTGTGGGATGTTTCTGGCACGCCTGAAAAGAGAAACGAAAAAAAAGCACAATCGAAAGTTAGAAACGAATATAATCTGTACGAAGAATCACTCACATACGAACTGTTACGTCTACACGAAATTCTCCACCACTCTTCGCCTTGCCCGTCGATTATACCGTAGCCTTCGACGCTAAAGTCGTAAACTCTGGCTATGGAAATCCATGTTGTGATGTTGCTCCAGTGGATCATATCCCGGGTGTCCGCTAAAACAATACCATCAATCTATCTAGGTGGAAAACAATGGCACAAAGATAATCTACGTACATAGAGTATATATTATCACGCACCTTGAGTCTCAAGTTCGTCGCGCATGGCCCAGTGAGAAGCAAATAATTTACAACAAAAGCTTTTCCACCGGGCACAAGCATGGTGGCGTTTTCCGTGTGACAAGCACGTTTCCAGGCCGCGAGAAAAGCCTGAAAGAAACGATATAAGCATGTAGTGTTCTATAAACAATATCTAGGAAACAGGGAAAGCTACCTGGGAGTCGTCACTAAGACCATCGCCGCGAGCTCCAAACTCCACCACATTAAACTCTCTGGGATCATAGCTTGCTCCCTCCGGCGATAGAGCTGGCGATAGCTCAGAGAGATCCGCCACTCCGCGAGCGATCATAACAGCGACAAGGAGGAGCTCCGTAAGAGCTACCATTCTTCTTCTTCTTCTTGTTCTTCTCTCATTCCTCGTTCTTTCTCCTTCACTGGATATGAACTCGATTTCTCCGAGCTTGACGATCGATGCTCGAGATCATCCTTTGCTTGCCTACCCGGATTGAAAAACACGGAGATTCGAGTTAGTTGGATGTGGAACTAGGTGAGAACCTACCAGTAGCACTGGATTCCAGTTTTGCTCCAAAAAATCCTTGATGGCAGGCCTCTCGGGTTGAAGTGGAGCAAGCTTGCGAGTTGCGAACGGGGATTGTTTTATTTTCCCTTGAATAACGAAAAAACGATTCCTGCGCGTAAACAACATAAGCGTGCTTATTGACACAAGAGTTGGCACAGGGAGCCTGCACTCGCAAATCTTGGCACACTTTTCTTACCGCGTTTTCCATGGAGCTTTCTGAGCCGAGCGCACTGTTTATAAATAATATTAAAAAGTCTATTCAATTCAAGAAAAATCTTGATGAAATTCAAAGCGAGCCTGAATAAATTCTCTGAGCTTGTACTTGGCCGCGAAATTCTCGCCTATCAAAAATCGATAAGCCAATGAAGGGAATAAACAAAACTAGTTTACAATCCGTGCTCCATATTTTGGTCCTGGATATACTGCTTTTACTGGATCAAATCGTGGAGATGGCCATGGTATTAATGTTTGTAGAGGGGGTCGAACCCAGCGACCTGGCGTTTGTGACCTTGCAATGACGAGAGCTGCAAAGGTACCGGATTCTTCATTTCCTTCGTTAGTACCTGGAGTGGGAAGAGAAGTGCCGGATAATTTAACAACATCGTCATCCATAATCGTTCCTCCTTGAGGCATCCTATAAGGGTAAGAACGGGGATTTGCCTGAAAAACCTGTAGTACTTCATTCTCCAAGGATTGAAAATCTTTGCCGTCGCCTCGAGATCTCTAGCGAGCGTCAGTAGCACCAGATAAAGCAAAAACAAAATTGCCAGAAAGACCACCAGCAACAAACCCGAGTGAAAGTAACATGCCCATTACCAATTAGAGCACCTCTAGAATTTTTAGTGTCACCATAGGTGCAGTGAGTTACTACTTGCCAGGTTGTTTACATGATTATTACTCAATCAGTTATGAGCTTGTATATGAGTTTCATGAAGAAAAACAATGCAATCCGAGCTCCTTTGCCAAACTTTTGCAAGAGAAACACTGACACGATCGCCAAGAATTTCATCAGCGCCACCAACAACACGAAGAACGCCTTCAAAATTTTCAAGATGGCATTCATTTTCCTGAAAATCCTTTAGGGTGAGAAAGTTTATATAGCAGAGAACTACCTTTTCGCCACCTTTTTCCATTAAAAAAATATACAGGCTTTTAAAATGATTCCTTTTGTGGTTTTGGCTGTTTCTTAAGCGGCTGTATCCGGGTGTGCCGCCCCAATGGACAAGCCCGATCTCTAGTTTCTTGTGCTTGCTCTTGTTTGTTACCTTGAATCCCTTGCAGCATGGGACACAGATGCATCCCCAACGGTTGCCATCGAGGAGAAGATGTATGTGGCTGCAAGGACCGATACTTGAATGATGTGCTGGTGAGTAAAGTAGCTCTTTCTCAAGTTCCTAGTAACTTTCTCGTGGAGGTTTAGTGCACCGGACATTGCGTGGTAAGTTGAGGCTCTCCAAGTTGTTATAGCAGGCTTTGCTTGAACAAGGTCGACGAGCTTCACAAATAGCAGGACTAAGAACGCTCTTAGTTGTCGTTGGCATTCCAGATGCATGGTACTATGAAGCTTTCCTCCTTTTCAAGTCGCGTTTGTGCAGTCTACGAATTTGACACGAAACAATGTGCTCAACGACAGGAAACATTCCAGTAAGCAAGCATTCTAGATGTTCGTTAAAATCCAGACCGGCATACACCCATATTTTGCTCCCGATCAAGGTGGCAAAAAATACCCAATTAATTCTGTCACATTAGATAGCTGTTAAATGCCTCACCATTCCTGTCATCAGTTGTGGGCCCAAGCACAAATTGAAGATCGTGAAATGACCTACAATGTAGTATCATTCATCGTCAGACGTGTCTTATGACACTTGCAGATTGTTAGCTTGTCCTCGCTTGGGTGAAGATCAAGCTCATCAGAGGGGAAGGGACCGCAAAAGGAAATAAAGAGCCAAGCTTTAGTAGGGTGGAATGGGACATGATGAAATGCATATCAAGATATCAATTACAACTGCTGAAGAGTTCATGATGTCTAGAGGGCTCTTGTGATGGTTGGGAGTGAATATCAGGTTCTATACCATCCAAGCCATAGATCGTGATTATTGTCTGGGAACTATACCACATAATTTGATGACTTTTATGGTTAGGTTTGTAAGTTTGCAGAAGGCTTTCATCACTGTCTATCAATCCTCTGCTCACGAAATTTGAACTCAAGAAGCATATTAAAGAAAAGAAAAAGAAAAAATGGATTATTCTTTATAGATTGCAATCAATAATTTTCTGAATCTCATTATAGACAGTGATGATAAAATATATTATAGCATATATAGAAAAATGGTAAACTAAGTGGCAATTGAAATGGTGTAGGACTTAACTTTAGTGGGTATCATTAATGAAAAATTACAACTAAATTATAAGCATGAAAAATATGAGCCTAAATAAGAGAATATTATCTAAATTAGTCAACTAAATAATATATTTGCAATAACTTAAAGTCAAATTGTGTTGGCTTTGCAACGCATTTTTTGTAGGCTTTAGTTTTGTGACACTAGTGTGGCTACAAAAGAACTTACGGTCAAACGACTCCAGCCGCGACTGAGAATCCATACGAGGGCTATGATCTTCAAGATCTCTCTTCTGTCCTGTCTGAAATGCTGGAGGACAAGATGAGGTATTTCCTTGTTGGTCCGATTGATATTTTTTACCTTCCCTTGTTTGCCTTCAGGGTACCATTGTGGAAGAAACGATTCCACGGCTCTTCAAGGGACACCAAGGTTTGTGGTGATTGTGCTCACTTGTGGTTTAAGTGTAGATGATTTGCACTGCAGATATATGATAGGTGCGAGTTTCCTTTGATGCTGGACTTGGACAGAGAACGTGGAAAGTGTCTGTCTCCTAATGCGGATAAAAGCGTACGCAATCTCTACGTTTTACACAGGTATGGGATTTAGATGATGAGCAAAGGTCTGTCTTGGGAATCGTGGTGGTGCCAGTAGACGAGCTCGGAACATTCCTCGAGATCTCGGCAGGAAAGGAATCGAAAGTTTTGCCGCCACCCGACGTTCTTCTTCACAAGCGCTACAAAACGTTTGTTGCTTTTGTTGGCTTCTTGATAGAACCCGTTTGCATAGTCTTGTGTTTCACAGCGGAGAAGCTATGCCTGGGGCAGCATCTCCTTGCGCGAGATCATGTTGAAATGGTGGAGTAAGTGAAAGCATTGGCCTAAGATAACGGAGGGCATTATATACGGCCCGCTCTTTCTGTGGTGTTTTGTTTTCTTAAGAATAAAGTGGAACGGTGGCTTGGCCAATGTCGAAAGTAGTATGAAGAAGAAGAAGAAGACGAAGAGGAAGAAGACGCAAAAGCAGAAGACGAAGGAGAAGAAGCAGAAGTTAAAGAGTGGAAAGAAGAGAAAGGTAAGAACTGCTTCTTAAGACTTAACCCGCGTTTCCATTTCTGCAGACACCACAAACCATGCCGAGATCCAACAGTAACGCCGCATGCGTATATGTCAGGAAGAGCTATAAAAGTAAGGTTTTTTACTTATAAAAGTAAGGTTTTATAAAAGTATAACGAGCTATAAAAGTAAGGTTTTATAAAAGTAAAGTTTTTTACTTATAAAAGTAAGGTTTTATAAGGTTTTTTTTATAAAAGTAAGGTTTTTTAAAAGTAAGAATCTCATGGAGATCTTTAAATTAATCTTGGATGTATAACACAATAATTCCACATGTGCCATGGCATATAAGGAAATACAGTTTTAACAAACTCTATTATAAGAAATAAATTTTTATTCTAAATTTTATAAATATAAATTTTTAATACCATAAAAATACCATATACTATTATTAACATAATAAGATTTTGATAGCTATTAGATTTATTTCAATCTAGGCCTCTCACTCCTATATATAAGCTAAAGTTTTTATACTAATTGAATATGCACATTTTTGTATTCCATCAAATCCCATTGTGAATAGTGATGGAAAACTATACTCTAGCAAATATAGAAAGATAGTATATACGTGACAATAAAAAAAATTAAGATCTATATTATTTACACTTTCCAATTTGTGGTATGTTTTTCAAGAACAGATAAAGAATATGCTTTCTTTTGAGCAATGTGGGTAAATTACTCGTAAATCAAGGGGACTGAATTCTATGAAGAGGAGACAAGTTTTAGTCACTTGGTGTTTCAGACCTTTATTGGCAACCATCCAGGTCAAAGCAACATAGCTACAATGATGTTGTTCAAGGAGTGGCAGAGGAGTTGGAACTGGATGATCCCTCGCAGGTCCGGTTGACAGTACTTGACGAACAGTAGAGCACATATCAAAACATCGCCTTCGTTACTCTTGTGCTACAGGTTCTTTACTTTAGACATTGGCTTCGCCTACCTCGCTCATGGAAAAAGCATTAAACATATCTCTCTATGATGCTAGAATCGTCAAACTAAGCGCCTGACACATTTGTCTTGTGATTTTGTGACCAACCACTTCGTTTCTCAGGTCACCGCTCACAACGTACCTGTGAGTGAGAACAGCACAGCCGTGGAGCTTCTCGGTGAACTTAAGAAGAAACTTGGTGATCTCTGTAAACCAGATGCAGAGCTTCGACTCTTGCAAGTTTCCTCCCACAAGGTTCTCAAGGTCGGTTATAAACGTTTCTGTCTTGGTAAGCTCTCATTTTTATTTTATTTTTTCAGATTTCTAATGCGGATGAGAGGATCAACAACCAGAAGTGCTGCACTTTTCGAGCTGAGGAGGTAATCAAAGAGATGAAGAAAGCTGCTTAACATCATATTTTTGCTGTTG